ATTATTATCAAATTAAATTTTAATAAAGTGAAATTATACTTCAACTAATGATATAAAAATAAATAGTTAATAGATTATATGCTTGTGTTTTAATTAAAAATTAAATTTAATAATTAAAAAATTATGTTTTAGAGGATGAGTGTATTTTTCTTCAATTTTCATAGAATAAAAGGAGTAAGTGCATTTTCAATCAAACCTTTGGAAGTTTTTGTAATTTTCTCTTTATGATTTTGAATAATTTATTTTTTAAAAATTATATACCTATAATAATTTTTTAAAAAAAGGAATTTTATTATAATCATATCATCCTAGGAAAGCATATTCCTAACATATCGTTCATCAATAAATTCTTGACGACTACAGGTGGCAAATCATAAAATAAAACACCTTCATTCAAGATAAAACCCATATTGGCCATGAAATCCGCTACTTTGTTTCTTCTCGATATATGTGAGAGATCTTCACATCCTAAATTCATTGAAGCATCATTTGAACAGCTTGGATGAGGTCTGAATTAGCACATGGATGAGAGAAAAAAAAGTTGTGATTGGATGTACTACCATATTGTTATCCACTTGCAAGCACACCCTACGGAATCCCAAAGTCTAAGCAAATCGAAGGCCATGATAAACTCTGCATAACTTAGATCTGTAAGCTAAACATTTCCCCAAGCTCACTACATAACCTCCTTGCTAGTCACCTGCAGCATCTCTCATAACACCTCCAGTAGCAGCCTTATCAATGCTACTTTGATAAGTACCATTTAAGTTAATCGCAACTTAGCTTGTTGTCAGCTGAAGCCAACTAACGAGCACCTCCTCTCTTCTTTTTGGCTCGTCACTAACAGAGATAGGACTGATAAAAATGTTGAAAGCTATAGCAGTCAATCCCTTGATTATTATAAGCTTTTTGTCTGTTGATATTTTCTTTCCCTTAAACACAGTTATATGACGCCATTTCCATAACTACCAGCATGTAATACCAAAAACAAAAGGCCACAAAAAGTCATCTATATATTACTTACATTTATTCAAGTTAGATGTCAACCAGTCTATCAACGAGAGTGAATAAAACTGTATGTGTTCTTCTAAAGTCAATATTTTCATCCACATTACATTTATGGCAGTCCCGTAATAAATGAATGATTGATTCATCTAATAAGCCACATTGTAAGCATGTTGGAAAAGCTATCGGGTTTCTACGTTTTTGCTCCAAGTTGGTGAGTAGCTGATTATGTAAATGAACTTAAAAGGTATGGATCCATTGAGGTCCCTACCATTTCCACACTAGATCCCACATACCATTATGCAACACAACCTCATGGTCAAAATTTTTAATTAAACTCTCATATAACGATGACACTGTGCATCAGCCAAAAGGGAAAGTGCACAATATGGTTCATCCAGACCATGATACATCATCGGAGGGATGGTGTTTGCCACATTTCTTACAATATCATTTGGAAAGAGGGATTTTAGAAACTCTAAGTCTCGCTCCCCATTAGGAAGTACAAAATCTCGAACACAGTTGTTTACGTCTATTGCGATATCCATATTTCGATCAACCTTTATCAAAGGAGAACCTTTAATCCAAACATCATTCCAAAATATTGTAGAAAACCCATCACCTATTACCTATCTCGTATTACTCTTGAAATAAGGCCATAATCGGCTTAAGGATTTCCAAAAAGAGGAAGCTCTTGTACAAAAAATATTGCCAGGTCACCTTAGTGCATTAAAATTACATTTACCACATAACAAATGTACCCATAGTGCATTTGGACGATTCACCAGCTGTCAAACTAATTTAAGTAACAAAGCATCATTTGTCAAGTGTAATCGCCATACACATGTTCCTCTTTCCTCTTTAAGTTTGCAAATGTCGAGCCATTGAATCAAATGAATTTTTCTACCGTTGGTATCTCTCCCCCCCCCCAAAGGAAATTTTGGCAGAGCTTTCCAATTCTCTTATAGCATTCCAGATGGATAGCTATAACTTGCATGGAATAGTAAGGCATCGTGGTAAGTATAGACTTAATCAATGTAAATCTACCTATAAAAGATAGAAAGGATGCCTTCCATGAGCTCAGTTTGCTCCTCACCTTGTCTTCTAACTATTGAAAAGTGAAAGCTCTTTTCTGTCCATGTAGTAAAGAGATACCAAGGTATTTCCCCATCTCATCAGTATGATTGGAGCCCGAACAGGCTTACAGGGAATTAATGCATTCCATCGAGACATTTTTAGAGCAATAAAAGTAAAACTTCTACATACCAACATGCTCCCTTGAACAAGTACAAAAATCATCTAAAACTCCTTTTATGACCTCCATTGGAGAAGTTGAAGCCCTTGCAAATAAAGAGATTATCTGCAAAGAATGAATAGGTTAATGGTGGACACTCTATTTTATCAACTTCCGTAAACCTTGTTAGATTGCTGCATTAATGCCATAGGCAATCTTTCCATGCATAATACAAATAGGTATGGTGATAGGGGGTCTCCTTGTAGAACCCTTCTAGAAGGAGCAAAACTTTCTATTGGTGAACCATTCCATAAGATTTGCATGATAACACATCTCCAACTACGAAGTAAAACATCAATAATCTCAGTCAAAGTATTGGCTTCCACTAGAGTATCATGAATGAACTCTCATCTGAGTTTGTCATAATCCTTTTCAAGGTCAAGTTTCATCATCATTCATCCAACTTGACCTTTCTCTTTCCTGAAAGAATGAATAACTTCTTGGGCCATAATTATGTTATCTGTTATCTCCCTTCTTGGTGTGTAGCTTGCTTGAGTATTTACTATCAACACACTCATAAATGGTTTTAGCCTATTAGTAATCACCTCCATTAAGACTTTGAAAACAACTAAAAGTAAACTAATAAGCCTATATTGAGAAATATATTTCGGTGAAGGTATTTTTGGAATTAGTACAATCAAAGATTTATGTAAACCATTACCAATTTCTCCACCTTCAAAAACATTCTGCACATACTGTACCACACTATGTCCAATAGTACCCTATTGAGATTGGAAAAATAGAGTGTGTAGTCCATCAAATCCTTGCGCCTTTAATGGTTTCATCTCAAATAAAGCGACTTTGACTTCACTTTCATTAACCGATTTAACTAACATCTCATAATCTTCTGTTGCAAGGAAAGGAAATTTACCTCTTATCGGATACACAAAAAGGACTTCATCTTCTTTAGAATACAAATGGTGGAAGAAATTAATAGCTAGGGACTTAATAGAATTTCCATAATCACATCATTGATTCTCCTCATTCCGAAGCCCTATGATTTTCGATTTGGTTCGTCTACATACGGCTTTAAGATGAAAGTATTTAATGTTCAAATCCCCCAACTTAAGCCAATTCGCCTTAGATTTTTGCATTCAAAATGCTTTTTCTTGTTTAAGAACTATTTCATATTCTTTTCTTAGGGTAACCTTAAGCTCACGAAGATGTCTAAAAGGCTTGGATTCTAGTGCTTTTTCAATACCACTCAACCTCGCCAACAATCTTCATTTTTTATAGAAAATATTACCAAAAACCTCCTTGTTGCAGTGCCTTACCTTGTTAAAGAAATCTGATATAGTACGTTGGATGTTAGTTGAGGTATCCCAAGACTGCTTAACAAAATCTCTAAATTCCTTATGTGTAAGCCATGTTGCTTGAAATTGAAAATTAGATTTTCATTGTGTTATTCTATCATTACCTAAGGAAATGAAAAAAGATCTATGGTTCGAATTGACTCTTGGCGAGTGATGGACAATAGCTTCTTAAAAATTTAGTCTCTATCCAGAGTTACATACAGCTCTATAAATTCTTTTTGCCACCAACCCTCTCTTCCAAGTGAATTTGGGACCCTTAAACCTAAAGTCAAGTAACACAAAATCATTAATAAATTTTTGGAACTAATGACAAAGATTGCTACCTTTTTGAGAACAGTTCACTTTCTCATGTGAAAAAATGAAAGAGTTAAAATCGCCTACTAACATCCATTCTCTATTTACTCATCCTGTGAAAAGAGTTAGCTCCTCCCACGGATCACAACGAAGATTATGCTTGGGATGACCATAAATTGTAGAAAAATACTAGTTAGAGCCTGCTTGTTGTTCAACTAATAAATGTATACATTATGGATGATTTGATCGTAGAAATCTGAATCCACTCTTTCCACAAAATCCAAATTGCCTCAGAAAAACCCGAAGCCTCCACTTTATGGGATCTTTTGAAATTCAAGGAGCTAATCACCTTATTAGCTACCGTCCCACTTATTTATGGCTCCATTAAAACAAGCACTAAAAAGTTATAATGCTTGTAAAAATCTTTAATCACTCTGACTACACCTTCGTCACTTGCACGTTGACGATTCCATATACAAGAAGTTTGAAATTTATAAATATTATTAAGAATAAAATCACGAACTAGTCAAGACACCTCTTTATTTTCATCAAGAGCCATCGTGGCCAGTCTATCCAAGTTAGAGATTGAAGATTTATTAACTTCCATCTTCTCCCCATGTAAAATAAGTCTAGGCATTAATCTTTCCTCCATCATTGATTGAGATAAAACTGTCGATGTAAGATTAATCATAGCACTCTTAGCTCTCTGCCTTTTTCTTTAGAGATATCTTTTGTAACTACACGGTGCTCTAGTTGTCAGGTGGTCTCTCCTCCTTATTGTCCAATAAGAACTCATCACTCCTCTCCAATATAGTCACTTGCGTCCTATCTTGGGCTGAGGGGCTCAATCGTGTAACATTGTATAAATCAAGACTTGATTTATATTTTGATTTATATAAAGGTAGGCATATTTGTAAGGTTACGAATATAATCTTAATTAATATCCAAAAAAGAATAACCATGTGATCACGTTCCTTAATATTAGGCACTTGTAATTGTAATTTGAGATAATAATGCGAGGACATGTACATGTAATTTTTCTAAATATTAGGAACCTTCATAAATAAATAAATAAAACCTAGTTAAAATTAAACACGTAAGAAAGAAGAAAAAGGAGAAGACAGTACGGTCAAAGCCCTAGAAATCAGACTTCAGCCAAGCGAAATAAAATCTTTTTTCCCCAATTTCTCTCGCTATCTTACTTTAAAACTCTCATCTTCTTCTCTCTGAAAATCAATCTCGTTTGCCAGGTAAAACCCCATATCCCTTTATTTACACGTTTGACCCTCTGATTTCTCTTCTCTTCTCTAATTCCCCCGAGACTCCTTTTCGATCAGATCTACGTTTTATGTTCTTTATAATTTTTTAAAAAAGTTTTTTTTGGTGAAATTATGGTTCTTTTTGGGGGTGATTAAAGAAATTATAGTTGTTCTTTTAATTTTATTTAATTTTTTGTAAATTATTAATAGCTTTTTTACAAATTTTACATATATGCTGTTTAAATATGTGGGTTTGATTTGAAAATTCATTTTTTTCTGTTATTGAATTTT